TTTTTTTTTTTTTTTTTGAGACAGAGTTTTTCTCTGTCACCCAGGCTGAAGTGCTGTGGCACCATCTTGGCTCACTGCAACCTCCGCCTCCCAGGCTCAAGCAATTCTCATTCTTCAGCCTCCTGAGTAGCTGGGATTACAGGCATGTACCACCATGCCCAGCTAATTTTTGTATTTTTAGTAGAGACAGGGTTTCACCATGTTGTTCAGGTTGGTCTTGAACTCCTGACCTCAGGTGATCCACCTGCCTCAGTCTCCCAAAATGCTGGGATTACAAGCGTGAGCCACAGTGACTGGCCCTTAAGTGGGTACTCTCAAAACACTTGAACTCACTGCAATAGCAGTGAGAGGTGCCAGGAAATTAGTACAGCAGTACAGTGTGTATGAGTTACACACAGTTATGCTTTAATGCTGTATTTTTATGTTTGTTTCAGTTTCTCTCAACTGTGAATGGTGCCATGGTCTGTGTTTTTGTGTGTTTTGATAAATTTTAACTTTTTATAATACATTTGTGGGTTGGGCGCAGTGGCTCACACCTGTAATCCCAGCACTTTGGGAGGCTGAGGATCACCTGAGGTCAGGAGTTCAAGCCCAGCCTGACCAACATGGTGAAACCCTGTCTCTACTAAAAATACAAAAATTAGCTGGGTGTGGTGACAGGTGCCTGTGATTCTAGCTACTCAGGAGTCTGAGAGAGGAGAATCGCTTGAACCCAGGAGGCGGAGGTTGCAGTAAGCTGAGATCATGCCATTGCACTCCAGCCTGAGCCACAAGAGCAAGGCTCCATCTCAAAAAAAAAAAAAATTATAATACATTTGTGTATATTTCATGTTATTAAATGAGAAAATAGATTAGTATCTACAGATTTTACGCATTCAGCATGCCTTTTTCTTAATTTCCTAGTATTTCTAGGCTATACAGTTTATCTGTGTTTGTTAAATTATCGCAAATCTCCAAAACATTTTCCAATCCAATATGTAGAGAAAAAAAACCCATGTATAAGTGTATGCACAGAGTTCAAACTTGTGTTGTTCTGGGCTCAAGTGTACTATCTTTTCCAAGAAATACCTGAATGGAAACACTATTGGTAAAAGGTCTATCTTCTCAGTGTCACCAGATAGACTCTTCAAGGAATAAAACCTTCTCAGGTGTCAATGTCTTTTGGGCAGAGATCTCCAGGAACACATCTGTAGTTAACCAAGTTGGAATTATTTCTGGTTGCTGTGAGGAGGAACACACATCTCGAGGAAGCATGGGCTGCCTTGGTAAGAGGGTGTTAAGAAGGAACATATTATAGGATTTGGGCTTTGCGGTGATTTGGGGGAGAGTCTAAGGAAGCGGTAATATACTCTAGATTGGATGCAGTCAGAAAGCTGGGCCAAGTCTATGACTGTGTCAGCAGGGAAATGTATCCGAGACACACAATATCTGTGTCATATCAAAATATGTTACCAGTGGCAAATCCCTATGGGTTTGCATCAACCTCAATTCTGGCCTCCTCAGAATAAAGTATTCAACTGAGGGGCATAAGGCGGAAGGAGAGACCAAGGGAAGTTTTAAAGCAGGAGTAACAGTTTATTAAATAAAGTTTTAGAGCAGGAAGGAAAAGAAGGAAAGTATACCTGGAAGAGAGCCAAACAGACAACTTGAAAGGCAAATATGCAGCCTGATATTTTGACTTGGGTTTTGTTTTGTTTTGAGACAGACGCTTGCTCTGTTGCCCAGGCTGGAGAGCAGTAGCGAGATCTTGGCTTGCAACCTGCACCTCCCAGGTTCAAGCAATTCTCGTGCCTCAGCCTCCTGAGTAGCTGATTTTTTTTTTTTTTTTTTTTGTATTTTCAGTAGAGATACGGTTTCACCACATTGGCCAGGCTCGTCTCAAACTCCTGACCTCAAGTGATCCGTCCGTCTTGGCCCCCCAGAGTGGCTGAGATTACAGGCGTGAGCCACTGTGTGCCTGGCCTTGGGGTTTTATACATTGGCTTACTTTCGGGGTCTTGCATTACTTCTTTCCTGATCCTTTCCTTCAGGTGGGCTGTCTGCATTTGCACGCTTGAGCTCACTCACCCAACTCTCCTGAGACCTCACTGGGAAGCTGCTGATCACTAGTTTCTGGTGTTTTCTATCTGGAGACGGCTGGTCCCTGGTGCCAGCTGTGACCAATTAGTATTTTAGTGAGACAGTTAACAACCGCTTGACCGTCACCTGATGGTTGCCTGACTAGCTACTGACTATAACAAGATTCCGATCTTGGGCATCTCAATTTTATCTATGTAGAAAGAAGAGACTAGCATGAGAATAGAGTTGTAATTTGTAAAGAAGTCGTTATTTGTTTTGGTCAAGAAAAAGGTGTTGTATTTTGCAGTCGGTAAAGTGACCTTTTTTGTCTGTAGTTAGAAAAGCTTAATAAAGTGCTTTTCTTTTGTCATTATATTGTGATTTCAGAGTGACCTTGTCTGAGGTTGCTATTTTGGGAGATTATTTCCATCCAATAGGAGAATAACAAGACCTAGCTCTGAGTGCTGGGCCAGCTTCTGAATGCAAAGGACTCTTTCCTTTTTATTTCTTACATGTTATTTTTATAATAAATTTTTCATTCAAATATAAGATACATACAGAAAAGTACGTAAATTATAACAGCAGTTTGAGACCAGCCTGGCCAACGTGGTGAAACCCCATCTTTACTAAAAATACAAAAATTAGCCAGGAGTGGTGGCAGGCACCTGTAATCCCAACTACTCGGGAGGCTGAGGCAGGAGAATCGCTTGAACCTGGGAGGTGGAGGTTGCAGTGAGCTGAGATCTCGTCATTGCACTCCAGCCTGGGCAACAAAGAGTGAGACTTCGTCTCAACAACAACAACAAACAAACAACATATCCAACTTTTAAAAGTCCCCTTCATGCAGATCACCAACCTTAAGGTCACCCACTCTCCTGACCCTAACACCGCAGATTAGTTTTACCTGATTTTGAACTTTTATGACTAGAAACATATAATATATACTTTTTGGAGTATAGGCTTCGTGGATTCAACATGATGTTTGAGATTCATTCATGTTGTTCTGTGTCACTGTAATAAGTTCATTCTCACTGATGAGTAGTATTCCATCGTGTAAACACACCACAGTTTATCCATTCTCGTGTTGATGGACATTTGAGAGCTTCCAGTTTGGAGCAATTAGAAATTAGTTCATAGTGCTGCTAGGAATGTTTTTGTACATGTTTTGGTGAATGCCAGGTGTATATTCCCACTGGGGAGGAGTCAAATTGCTGTATACTTATGTTCAGCTTTAGTAGACAGTGCTAAACATTTTCCACAGTGGTCGTACCAATTTATGCTTACACCAGCAGTGTAAGAGAACATGGGAAACCATGTTACGTAAACTCTTCCAGAATACAGGAAAAGATGAAAACTTCTAAATGCGTTCTACAAGGATTCTATTACTTGATACAGAATTGAGAAAGTATAGAACAAAATAAAAAATATAGGTTAATGACATCTTTAAATGGAGATGTAAAGTTACTAAACTATTAGCAAACTGAACCTACAAATAATTAAAAAAAAAAAAAAACCAAACCAGGACCAGAATGGGTTTATCCCAGTAACAGAAGTTATGCTCAAAAACTAGGAGGATTTTTGAATTGATGCATATTAATTTACCAATGTTAGTTACTATATAATTCATTAAATCCCAAATTTATTTTTCGTTAATATAGTTCATTAAAATAGAAACTCTTAGGCCGGGCACGGTGGCTCAAGCCTGTAATCCCAGCACTTTGGGAGGCCGAGGCGGGTGGATCACGAGGTCAAGAGATCGAGACCATCCTGGTCAACATGGTGAAACCCTGTCTCTACTAAAAATACAGAAAATTAGCTGGGCATGGTGGCGCGTGCCTGTAATCCCAGCTACTCAGGAGACTGAGGCAGGAGAATTGCCTGAACCCAGGAGGCAGAGGTTGCGGTGAGCCGAGACTGAGCCATTGCACTCCAGCCTGGGTAACAAGAGCGAAACTCCGTCTCAAAAAAAAAAAAAAAAAAAAATAGAAACTCTTGTTAATATAATTCCTTTCGAAGACTACAGAAAAGCAGATAATCTCCAAAGCTGCCAAAAAAGCAGCTGACAATAATCAATTCTCACTTTAATAAAAATTCTAGAAAGCAGACATAAAAGTCCATGCATCCCTCCTTCAGTCTACTTTTCGAGTTCATCGTCCATTATTACCTCACACGCAGGCTAACTTCTTTTTCCGTGCTCCTCCACTTACTAGCTGTGCAGCCTTTGACAGGTTACTTCACCACTCTGTGCTGATTTCCTACGGGTAAAATAAGACTACCTACCCTATGTAGTAAAGATCAAGTCCTCAATACACTATTGTTAATCACCTTTTAATGTCCAGAATTTGGTCATTAAACATACCTTTGACTATGAGCACCCTGACAGCAGGGACTAACAGTGGAAATTTCTGGAGACTTAAGAATGTTTGTTGAATCCTGATCCAAGGTTTCTCGCCTTCCTGTGTTCTCGCCTTACTTCCTCATCCTGTCAAGCCGTCTGTCCACCTCTTGCAAGCCTAACCCGGGTCAATAACCATTCTTTACAACACTTTCTTTGCACTCTTCTTACGGTGCTCATGACATTGTTTTGAGTACTAAATGAATATATAGTGTGTTGTTGTGTTTAACATCTAGGTCATAACCCCTCTTAATGGAGTTTAAAAAGTTTCGTACGTTCCTCTAGGGCAGAACCGTGACGTATGTCTGGTTTCACATATTTATAGTGTCTACAAAGCACAGTGGCAAAGGCAGAGCTCGGGATGAGAACTGGGCTAAGAAAGGCGCGCCCCGCACCCCCCAAACCCTACTCTGAGAGCCCGGAGACGTGCGGGCTCCGAAGGTGTGGACAGCAAAATATGTAAAGCAGTGATTCCACTCACCAGTGACACAGTGGGGCGGGACAGCCCCATCTCGCTCGCAGTTTCTCATTATTCAACACAGAAGCCAACGCGCTGGCAACAGATGCGTGTGCAAGCCTGGGGGCGTTTGCGCGCTTAACGTGGGGCAGGCGGAACCTTAGTCGTCATCCCTGAGTTTCCCGCGACGCCGCTCTAACCGCTACACCACCCCACGGACGACCTCCTTCCTCCCACCCCCGGGACCCATCCCCGTGGCGGGCTCCGGAGTTCGAGACTGCTCATTTCAGCGAAACGATTAACAGACGCCGCAGCGGCTGACGGCACCGCCTCTCCTCCGGTAGGGAAGGGCGTGCGGCGTACCGTCACCCACGCTTGCCCGCCGGCGCAGAGCAGGCCCCACCGAGGCGCGCGCCGCCGGCACGCACGCCGCCCCGCCCCCTCGGCCCGTCGCCACCCGCGCGTTGCGCGCGCTCGCATCCCCCGCCCTCGACCCCCGTGCCGTTGGCGGGGCCCGAGGCGAGCCAGAGAGCGCTGTTGGCCGGAGGGAAGCCGGAGGAGACCGGGTCGGCGGGGCGGAGCGGCAGAGGGTCGGGGAGACTGCCCTCAACGCCCAGGAGTAGAAGTGGACGGGGGCAGGGTTGCGTGAGGGAGCGCGCCGCCACTGAGCTTGGGTCGGACTGGCGCTCGGGGGGTCGGGACCCAGACTGGTGGGCCGGGTCCCCGGGCCGGCCTTACACCCGAGTCGAGGAGGAGAGACCGGACACAGAGGGAGCGAGCGAGCAGGGAGACATGGCTTCATCATTCCTGCCCGCGGGGGCCACTACCGGCGACAGCGGTGGAGAGCTGAGCTCAGGGGACGACTCCGGGGAGGTGGAGTTCCCCCATAGCCCTGAGACCGAGGAGTCCAGTGGCCTGGCCGAGCTGTTTGAGAAGGCTGCCGCGCACCTGCAAGGCCTGATTCAGGTGGCCAGCAGGGAGCAGCTCCTGTACCTGTATGCCAGGTACAAACAGGTAAAGTAGCAGGGAAAGGGTGGATGGGGGAGAAAGACGCGGGGCCTTCTTCCTCAAAAGCTGGTAGCAAACGTGTGGTTCATAGCGAGATGTCATGAAGCCTGTGTGTCTGCGTTTTGTTTGTTTCGTTTTTGGACCATCTCCTCGAGATGAGCATCATCCTTGATGATGGAAAAAACGTGTTTGCTTTCCTAGGCGTGATATTTATTTAGCTGGACGCTGAATGACAGTTTTTCTGTTTCTTCTTTGACCTATTCAGTGATCTTGCACTTTACCAGCCTCAGAACCTTTACAAAATGAGGATGATAAAATAAAATTTATCATTTACTCTTTCCAAAGGGCCACATGGAAGTAAGTATGGTAAAGTTAATAAAAATAAATTGAGATCCCAGAAGATAATAGGATGGTAACAAATAATGTGATGCAATGCAAAATACAGTATTACAACTTTTATTGTGATTTTTATAAAATCCTAAGTATCTTTGACTTATGTTTTGGTTGAATATGCCTTCCTTTCTGTTTAATACAATCCTGAAAATTTTAGAGCTATGCACGCCAGATGAAAGAATCCCCTCCTTTTACAGCAAAGGAAACTGAAGGTCATAGAGAGTAAGTAACTTGCGCAGGGTCATACAGATTCATCAGTCAGAACTGGATTATAGCTCCTGACTCAGTCTAATGCTGTGAACTATACCTGGAAATAGGGAGATGTATAGACATGTTTAATTTATAATTCAGAGTGACATTGGCTAGGTACCAGAAGGAAAATAATTGCTTTATCATAATCAACGTATATTTGTTCAGCAGCTTTTATGTGCAAGACACTTGGTTATAATGCCTACAGAGAATGCAGAGAAGCAAAAACATGACACTTTTTTTTTTTTTTTTTTTTTTTTTAAGAAGAGAGTCTGGGTTGCCCAGGCTGGTCTTGAACTCCTAAGCTCAGGTGACCCACCTGCCCGAAGAGCTGGGATTACGCGCATGAGCCACTGCACCTGGCTGACACTTAACTTTTTTTCTTGACGCAGTTTCGCCCATTGCCCAGGCTGGAGTGCAGTGGCTCCGTCTTGGCTCACTACCATCTCCACCTTCCAGATGCAAGTGATTTTTCTGCTTCAGCCTCCTAAGTAGCAGGAATTACAGGCGCGTGCCACTACACCTGGCTAATTCTTGTATTAGTAGAGATGGGTTTCGCCATGTTGATGAGGCTGGTCGCAAACTCCTGACCTCAGGTGATCTGCCTCCTAAAGATAACTAATTGACAGCTGTGAAAACTGGAGAGTGATGAAAATTTGTGAATTCCTGTTGACTTCATGAGATACTATTTAATACTTTTTTTTTTTTTTTGAGATGGAGTCTTGCTCTGTCACCCAGGCTGGAGTGCAGTGGTGTGATCTTGGCTCACTGCAACCTTTGCCTCCCAGGTTCAAGCGATTCTCCTGCCTCAGCTTCCCGAGTAGGTGGGATTACAGGTATCTGCCACTGCGCCCAACTAATTTTGGTATTTTTAGTAGAGATGGGGTTTCACCATGTTGGCCATAGTTGACCAGGCTGGACTTAACCCGACCTCAGGTGATCTGCCTACGTTGGCCTCCCAAAGTGCTGGGGATTACAGGCATGAGCCACCACACGTTAATAATACTTTATTAAATTTTAACTGTTGTTTCAGGTCTTAAATTTTGTGTGATGAGATGGGAAGTACACAGTACTTCTGCTGCATGCAGAATTATGTTGACTGTTTTGAGGAAAAGCACTTGTGTGATTTCTGAGTTGCAAAATGAACTGTATTTCCATGGAAATCATTTTTACTTAACAACTCACAGATAATCACACCTACTCAAATTTGGGTATTTGGCAGGTAGTTTTTTGAAAATGAATGAAATAAGCCTGTTATTTCAAGGAAAACAACTCAAAGTATTTGTTACCAGTAATAACATTTGAGCCTTCAAAGTGAAAATGAGAAATTTGGAAAATCTGTATCTGTCACCATGAACTTGAAGCTTCCCAGTACTTAAAAACTTTTTTTTGATGAGATAAGTGGTGACAGTCATGAATGTGAACGTTTGCTATTATATCATGAAATGTGTCAACATTTGAAAAGTCTGTGTAACTCAGTAAACCATATTTTCTAAATATTTCATGGATTGATGTTACAAATTATGTGTTGGTAAAAGATGCCTTTCAAAGTGCAAGTCAGACCAATGGATTTCAGTGTTAACAGTATGAAAAATTCATTGATCTGAGTTCAGATTTCTCATTGCAACTGACCTTAAAGAAACAACCATCTGTTAGATTTTGGCATAGTATCAAAGAAGAATATCTACAATTATCTGAAAATACTGCTAAAATACTTCTCTTTTCTAACAACATATCTGTGTGAAGCCGAATTTTCTTCATACTCTTCAACCAAAACAACATATTGCAGTAGATTGGATGCAGCAGTAGATATGCAAATGCAACTGGCTTCTACTAAGCCAGACATTGAGGAAATTAAAAAATGTAAAACGTTGCTACTTTTCTCACTAATTGTTTTTAGACTAGATAGTTATTTTGCATGAAATGTTATTTATGTTAACATCTAATGGGTTTATTATTTTTAAATGAACTAATTCACATTTTTTAAATGTCTCAGTTTTAATTTCTAATATGATAAGTATTGATAGATACGACCCATGTAAATGATGGCTCATTAGGATCCTTAATTTCTGAGGATATAAAGGGATTACAAGACTAAAAAATTTGAAAACTTACTTCCCTAAGTTCCATTTTCATGGTCAGAGATGGCTTACCTTCACCACATGTATATTCTATCCAGAACAAAGGGAAAGAGGAAGACAAGCTCCGTTTCTTTTTAAGGAAGGTATTTTTATCACTCTTGTACACATCCAGTCCCCAGAACCCAGGCAGAAGTTGGACGGCCGTGTGTAACGTTGAGCTGGATGATCCTGTGTCCAGCCTTCTGTTATCGTAGGAGAAATGGAGAAGAACTATTGGCATTTGTTTGTACCACTGGGTGGTGTCTGGATAAAAAATAAAAACAATTATAACTGCTATTTTTATGATGTCTTAAAGTTTGTATAATTATCTCATATTTATTTTTTATTTTTTATTTTTTTTAAGATGGAGTCTCACCAGGCTGGAGTGCAATGGCATGATCTTGGCTCACTGCAACCTCTGCCTCCCAGGATCAATTGATTCTCCTGCCTCTGCCTCCCGAGTAGCTGGGATTACAGGCACGCACCACCATGCCCAGCTAATTTTTTTGTATTTTTAGTAGAGAGGGGGTTTCACTATGTTGGCCAGACTGGTCTGGAACTCCCGAACGCAGGTGATTCACCCACCTCAGTCTCCCAAAGTGCTGGGATTACAGGCTAACAATCTGGTAGTTAATGTGATTTTAGACAGTGCAGAATGGAAGCCCAGACTCTATTTAGGATTTTTTTTTTTTTTTTTTTTTTAACCTCAGGTAATTCACCTGCCTTGGCCTCCCAAAGTGCTGGGATTACAGGGTGAGCCACTGTGCCCAGCCTATACTTTATTCTTTTTTTATTTTTTGAGAAAGAAAGAATAATAAGAAAAGTAGAAGAAGAAAGAGAAAGAGGAAGAGGGAGAGAGAATGGCGGTATTGCTTTATTGCCCAGGCTAGAATGCAGTCTAAATATGGGTATGCCTATAATTGTCCTTAATCATGGAGACATGAAAGAAAATGAGGGAAGAGAATAACAAACAAGGAGCCAACCAACATTTCGTTTAAACTTCTAAGTTGATATGATGTGGTACTGATAAGAGTGTATATTTTATGTATTTAAAGTGGAGAGTTCTATAAATGTTAATTACATTTACTTGTTTTACAAGGAGGCTCACACTTGTAATCCCAGCACTTTGGGAGACCAAGGCAGGTGGATCACTTGAGGTCATGAGTTTGAGACCAGCCTGAGCAATATGGAGAAACCCCCATCTCTACTAAAAAGTACAAAAAATTAGACAAGTGTAAGAGGTCATGAGTTTGAGACCAGCCTGAGCAATATGGAGAAACCCCCATCTCTACTAAAAAGTACAAAAAATTAGACAAGTGTGGTGGCGTGTGCCTGTAATCCCAACTACTTGGGAAGCTGAGGCAGAAGAATTGCTTGAACCTGGGAGGCGAGGTTTCGGTGAGCTGAGATCGCACCGTTGCACTCTAGCCTGGGCATCAAGAGTGAAACTCCCTCTGGGTGGGGGGTGGGGAGGGGAAGAAAAGCTGACGAATAAAGAAAAGCCATTTTAGGTGAGTGGAGTAACAAGCAAAACCCTGACTAGGAATCCCTAAGGGAGTGAGTAGATCCTTCTGGTTAGATGAAGTCCTCAGTTAGATTGTAGCAGAAATCAGGTGTGTAAAAATAATGGGTGACAGTGGGAAAATCGCTGAGAAGTAGATAGGTGCTGTGGATAAGTTAAGAACAGTTACTGGCTCTGTTCTAATAGAAAGATGAGACTTTACAGAAAACTTTCTAACACATGGTACAAAAAGTGAAAAGTACCATAAAAGATATATAGAGTAAATGCTATAAGAGTTCATGAGGAAGGAAGATTACTTCTGTCAGTGGGAATTGGGGGCTGTATAGTGAATTCTGCACTTGTTTGAATTTCACTTATGCTTATTCTCAATGAAAATACTAACTATACAGTTTAACTACAAATGTCATGTGAGGATTAAAATTAATGAAAATTAAGTATTGACCACAAACAAGATAAGACTATTGTAGAAAAATGGAATTTTATTGTTGAAAACCCCTGAAATTTTTTTGCATGTCTTTTGGCATCCAAATTTATATTGATGAGTTTTCATAATAGGGCACTTTCAAAGTATTACACTTATTTCCTGGAATTTTGGAGAGAGGAAATGCTAATAGAGTTATAAGAATCAGCATGAAAAAATTATATTATGAATTCTGATAAACACCTCTGAAGCTTATTGTTACAACATTCTTTTATAAATGATAAAGAGTATATAATCTATATTGATAACTTATCTTACATATAATTAGGCTAGGAAATGTAATCATTTATCCCAGTTTTTCTCTATTACAGTATTAGATAATAGTTCTTTTATGCAGTATACCAAAGTAGCCTGTATGTAAAGTTTGATTCTGGTTGGTTTTTTGGTTGTTGTTGTTTACTTTTGCAAAGAATGTTAAATTTTACTGTTCATATAGATGCAAATATTTTCCAACCTATAGTTACTAAATATACATAATACATTTGAAAAGGAAAAGTTTCCCAGACAGTTCTTTGAAAAATAAGTTCTTGATTTTCCCTCCCTCATTTAGGTCAAAGTTGGAAATTGCAATACTCCTAAACCAAGCTTCTTTGATTTTGAAGGAAAGCAAAAATGGTAAGAAATTCTTGGAATTTTTAATGAGGTTGTTGGAAATGGTTTAGGTGTTGAGGAATTAGAAAGCAGTGAGCTGATTAAAGAATTATTTTTATATTAATCTCTTTCTGCCGTAGACTGTACTAGTGACAGGTAATTGCGAGAGAGATTAAAGAAATCTACTTTTAGCTAAGTCTCCTGAAGGATTCTTATGCTCACATGTTGGAATATAAGTGGTTCACAGCAGACCTACAGACATGCCTTACATTTTAATACATGAGAGAGTAACTGTGAGAGCTCTTGCTTGAGATTTTCCTTTGCTATCATTGAGCCGCTAATGGATCACCACTTCTGCCCCCTGGAGGGATCTTTGGAAGAAGGCCAGAACGATAGGAAGGGCAGGAGAGCAGGATAAATCCCCATTTTTTACCCTTCTCCCCTGTCTCAATTTTATCTCCTTGTCCCTTGCTACTCTTCTGTTCCTTGCCTGACCCATGCCACGGTAAATAAGTGCACATAGTACTCTTGGGAAGAAGGGGGAAAAATACAGTGAGAAACCAAAACTAGATACTAACTTTGCTTTTTCTTTGAAAACATTTAAAAAAAGATTAATCTTCTGCAAACTTTTAAAACTTACAATTCAGAAATTTCCTCCTGTCATTTATGAGACCTTATCTTCTCTTACCTTGTCTAAGTGAAAAAAGAGAAATTGCATAGAACTGGGAATCTTAGTTATAGAAGGGAAGGCTTTGGAGCATCAGCCCTGGAATTAAAAGAAGGTTAGAAGGTAGAGTTAAAAAAGTAAAAAGATAAAATATGGTTTTGGAGAGAGGAAGTGCTAAAATACGGGTTCTGACCTTACATTCTAGAACAGTCCCACACAAAATCTGGTCCCCTTGATACATTTCCTGCCTACCAACAGTTTGTTACCCAAATGTAAGGAGATACAGGGCTTGAACCCATATATAAATCAGTTATGTCACTAACCATACTGTTAAATTCAGCTGATGTATTTTTGTATAGGACTGTCTCAGTGCAGGAAGCAGTGCATTGATTATATTCTTGCAAAGTTTTTTGATTGATGATAACCAGCAGTTCTCTGGCATTTTATTACTATTCTAAATACCTGATGTTAACTTTTACTGTGAATTTTGTTATAATTTATGAAATTTTATGGCTTCATTTTTTTCCTATACTTTACCTGTTTCTCCATTGTTTTTAGCAATGAAGAACATTAGATTTTATAGCCATCATAATAATAGTTTAGGCAAGAACATCAACAAATACTAAAACGGTAGATGGCAAAATACTGGGGGAAAATATTGGGGAAAAACTATTGAGGAAATCTGTTGTTAAAATCCCAGGTGAAAAACTACTGGGGAGCAAAACTGTAGGTTACAGGCTGACCCACAGTTTACTTTTTAATTATGAGGGAGAAACCTGACACATACTGCCTTTACCAAGCCATGAATCTTATTGATGATGGGACAGACTGACCAATGCATCAGATTACAGTGCATCAGACCAGTGAGGTGCATCATAAAGGGCTTGTCACCTATATATGGCTCTGCTGAAATAATTAACCTGGTTCTAATTATGATTAATCATTTTTGGCAAGAACACTGTGTAGATGGGGAAACAATTAGAAAATTCAAATTGAGGGATATTTTATAAAACAGTTGGACTCTTAATACCAACAATATGGAAGACAAAAAAGCTAAAGATACATGAAAGTCAGTGCTGTGTGTGGATCTTGATTGGTTCCTGGTGTGGGAGAAGAAAGCCGTAAAGGACATTATTGGGACAATCAGGAAAGTCTGAATGTCTTAGCCTCTATAATAGTATTGATGGGAAATTTTTTGAGTTTGTGTAAGCTGATCTCTTTAGGGATGAAGTGTTATGATGCATATAAGTAACTTGCAAGGAATTTAGTAAAATTCAGAAGACCTTAGAAAAATGTATTCATTATAGAAGGAGGAAGGTAATGAAAAAGTGGGACTGAGTTCTGTTTGACGGTGAATCAAGGAAATAGAGAAACCCTGGTGGAATTAGAAATAATTGGCAGGCAAAAACCAAGAAGGAGGCCTGTCCTAGCAGCCTGCAGGAAAAAAAAAGAAAAAAAGAGTGACCCAAAAGGGAGCTCACGACTAAAATGTCGCTTTTAACATTTATACTGTAGGAAGTCCCTAACTTGTTAATTAGTATTCTTTTGTTGTTGTTGTTGTTGTTGTTGTTTTGAGACAGAGTCTTGCTCTGTTGCCCAAGCTGGAGTACAGTGGTGCCATCCCGGCATACTGCACCCTCCACCTCCCAGGTTCAAGCAATTCTCCTGCCTCGGCCTCCCGAGTAGCTGGACTACAGGTGTGCACCACCATGCCCAGCTAATTTCTGTATTTTTAGTAGAGATGGGGTTTCACCATGTTGACCAGGCTGGTCTCGAACTCCTGATTTCAGGTGATCCACCGACCTCAGCCTTCCAAAGTGCTGGTATTACAGGTGTGAGTCATTCCTTACTTTCGAAGTCCCAAACTAAGTCCTCAGGATCAGTTGATTGTAGCTTATAGATGAGACAACAGCAGAAAGGGAAGGTAGATTTCTTGTATCTTAAGTAAGAAGTTTGATCCATTTTCCTCAGGAATATGTTTTTTATGTGATATTTAGTTTCTATACGACCAAATGCCATAAGCACAGTTAATTTATAAGATGAGAACAATCTCTATTAGCCTATAGACCATCATTCTCAATAGGTGTGAAAATTGGTTTGAGGGAGTGACAAAATCTTAGATGACAGTGGTTTGTAGTCTTTCAAAATTTAATAGATAGGCAGTGTATCTGTGTTGTTAAAATTTAATAGGGGAGGGTGATTAGGGAAAAAAGTTTGAAAAGACTTCTTAGGTAGGGCAATAAAATCTGTATAGCTCTAGACCAATGTACATGCAGAAAGACAGAACTCTATCCAATAGCTTATTATCTCTGTATCCCAAGTCCCTTGAAATGTGCATACAATTTTTTTAATAATAAGAAAAATGCTGTTTGTGTTATTTGCATAGTTAATGACAGGCCATTTTGGATATTCCATATTGTAGGGAAGCATGGAAAGCACTTGGTGATTCAAGCCCCAGCCAAGCAATGCAGGAATATATCGCAGTAGTTAGAAAACTAGATCCAGGTTGGAATCCTCAGGTAAGACTTAATGATTGTAAATAATACTTTCCAAAAACTTAGGATCTTTCTCTGAAATAAATGTTTAAACCTAAGCTTCGTTTTAAGTAACATGCTTTAAGTTTTACTTTCTTGAAAGAATATAAGGTTATTATAATATTTATCTAATAAAATAATTGCTGGCTGGGTGTGGTGGTTCGCTGGCTGGGTGTGGGGGTTCAGCACTTTGGAAGGCCAAGCCGGGTGGATCACCTGAGGTAAGAGTTCAAGACCAGCCAGGCCAACATGGCAAAACCTTGTCTCTATTAAAAATACAAACATCAGCCGGATGTGATGGTATACACCTGTCATCCCAGCTACTCGTGAAGCTGAGGCAAGAGACTCTCTTAAACCTGGGAGGCTGAGGCTGCAGTGAGCCAAGATCTGACTACTGCAGTCCAGCCTGGACAACAGTGTGAGACTCCATCTCAGAAAAATTAAAAACATTAATAATAATTATTTAAATAGTAACATAACCAGCTACTAATGCTGAGAACTTTTCTGAGTTGCAGAGTTTTTGAAAGCAGAAAAATGTGAATTATGTAAGAATTAGAAAAAGTTTAACTTGAGATTATCATTATGCTGGAAATTATGTAAGAATTGGAAAAAATGTAACTTGAGATGATCATTATGCTGGAAAAAAGTTACTCTTGGATTTCTTTTTTATGATCACCTTCTATGTAAGGACAAAATGCTTCTTATTAGGGATAAAAGATGAATAAGACATGATTTCCACCATTATGTAGTTTAAAGTATAGAGAAGATAAAACATATCAAAAATATATCTTTAATACTATAAAACAATAATCATGTAAATGCTAGGGAATCCAGCAGGAGAAGAGATTGCTTTGGACTTTGGAAGCATTGGATGTTGTTTACTTAAATGTACCCTGTTTTTCTGATACACTTATTGGAGAACATCTAGAAAGAATTTAATAAAGGAGGGGTTACTATTTAAGAATATTGTTATATGATCAACAGGTATTTCAGTGAGATAGAGGCTGCATTATACCATGTAAAAAATACAAATTGAATTTTTTCTTTTTTTTTTTCAGCCTCCCAAAGTGCTGGGATTACAGGCGTGAGCCACCACGCCCGGCCAAATTGAATTTTTTCAGTAAAAATAGTTAGGCCAGGTCGGGGTGGTGGCTCATGCCTGTAGTCCCAGCACTCTGGGAGGCCGAGATGGGTGGATCACGAGACCATCCTGGCCAACATGGTGAAACCCTGTCTCTCCTAAAATACAAAAATTAGCTGGGTGTGGTGGTGCACGCCTCTAGTCCCAGCTACTCAGGAGGCTGAGGCAGGAGAATCACTTGAACCCAGGAGGCGGAGATTGCAGTGAGCTGAGATCACACCATAGCGCTCCATCCTGGGCAACAGAGCGAGACTCTTTCCCCCCCAAAAGAATGTAGGCCAAACAGTTTGCAGTTAATGAATTTAACAAGTTTTAATGTTTTTGTAATAATTACATGATTGCATGAGTGCATAGTTGTTACCGGTATGAAGGAATTATTCCATTAATCCTGGAATCTTAAAAATCTCAGACTTGTTAGGAACTTTAAAAGATTATACATTATTACATGTTAAAAATGTATCTTAAGAGCACAAAGTGGGAGAGATAACCAACTTTGGATATCTTTAATGATATGACTGCCTTTTAAAAGTCATTGAAAAATTTCCCTTTTTTTGGTGACAGGGTCTTACTACTCTGTCACCCAGATTGGAGCACAGTGGCGGGATCTTTGCTCACTGTATCCTCTACCTCCCAGGTTCAAGTGATTCTCCCACTTTAACCTTTGGGACTACAGGTGTGCACCACTATACCTGGCTAATTTTTGTATTTTGTGTGTGTGTGTGTGTGTGTGTGTGTGTGTGTGTATACACAAACTATATATATACAAAAATACCAAAATGGCTAATTTGTGTGTGTGTATGTGTGTATGCACACAAATATATAAATATATATTTTTTTTTAGTAGAGAGAGGGTTTTGCTGTGTTGGCGAGGCTGGTCTTGAACGCCTGACCTCACCTGATCCACCTGCCTCAACCTCCCAAAGTGCTGGGATTACAGGTGTGAGAAATTTCCCTATGTGTTTGATATGCATGAGTGTTCATTTTCAGAAATTTTCTATTTTATAAGACGCCAAATATACATAGAAATATATATCTCAAGGTTCTGAGGGCTTAAAATCTGAAAATTAGTGGTCAAAACAGGTGCCCCCTGAGCTGAACTCAGCCTGAACATTTGTGGCACAATGTTTAAAAACGAAACAAAACTCGAATGTGAATGCCTTTAGGCAGAGTAATTTTCAGGTCCACTCATTGTGGTCTCATTCTTCCCTACCCTATTGCTGATACTTGGCCTGTGAAGGCATTTGAGTTTATAAATTCTGATACATGACAGAATTTATGATTTCTTACCTTAAGTACTTTAATAAAATTTTGCTATTACTCTTAAAAATGTTTGCAGGCTGGGCATGGTGGCTCATGCCTGTAATCCCGGCACTTTGGGAGGCCTAGGTGGGTGGATCACCTGAGGTCAGGAGTTTGAGTCAGCCTACCCAACATGGTGAAATCTCATCTCTACTAAAAAATGCAAAAATTAGCTGGGCATGGTGGCAGGTGCCTGTAGTCCCAGCTACTTGGGAGGCTGAGGCAGGAGAATCGCTTGAACCCAGGAGGCGGAGGTTGCAGTTGGCGCAGGTTGCAGTGAACTGAGGTCACACCATTGCACTCCAGCCTGGACGATAGAGCAAGACTTAGTCTCAAAAAAAAAAAAAAAAAAAAAAAAAAAGTGCTTGCAGATTCCATGCAGTTAAGTAGTTCTTCTTTACTGAAATCCAGACAGGTGTTAAGGATGTTTTTTAAAAATGTCTAAATCTCACCTATTGAACATAATATACTTGAGTAAACCAAGCAGAACCAAAGGTACGTATTCTTTAATGAATTATTTAATACATTAATAAACTTTAAAAAATTAATACATTAACATTAAAAGAATACGTAACATACTATTGTAAAAGTATTTTAACATTGGAATCTAGTTGAAGGGGCAATTTTACGTTTTATTTACATTTTAACTTTTAAACACTGAGCTGGTCCCCTTTGACTCAGCTTTTTTTTGTCTTTACTTTTAGAAAGAGGCAGATCATAGCCTCCATATCAGAAGAGATTCGGCATTTAGTTCATTATCTTTTAGGTTAAATAATACTTTTGATACTCTGAAAAAAATAAGAACAACACTCATTCTGAATGTGCTGAGTTTTTTTTGTTTGTTTTTGAGATGGAGTCTCTCTCTGTCACCCAGGCTGAAGTACAGTGGCACAGTCTTGGCTCACTGCAACCTCCACCTCCCAGATTCAAGCATTTCTCCAGCCTCAGCTTCCTGAGCAGCTGGGATTACAGGCATGAGCCACCAGACCTAGCCTGAATGTGCTGAGTTCTTTTCATGTATTGTTCTTTGATATCTTCACAAAAAGTCTTCACAGTTAGAAACTATAATGATATGTGTTTTTTTTAAACGAGGAAATTCAGGCTCAGAGAGATTTAGTAACTTGCCTGAAATTAGCCAGTGAAGGTGAGTGGTGACTCACTCCTGTAATTCCAGCACTTTGGGAGGCTGAGGCAGGAGAATGACTTGAGGCCAGGAGTTTGAGAGCCCCTTGGGCAAGAAAGCAAGACCCTATCTCTGTTTAAAACAAAATAAATTAGCCAGACACAGTGTTGTGCACCTGTAATTGCAGCTACCTGGGAGGCTGAGATGGGAGGATCCATTGAGCCCAGGAGTTCAAGGTTGCAGTCAGCTGTGATTGCACCACTGCACTCCAGCCTGGGTGACAGAGGGAGACCTGAGCGAGACCCCATCTCAAAAAAAAAAAAAAAAAAAAAGACCAGGCGTGGTGGCTCACACCTGTAATCCCAGCTCTTTGGGAGGCCGAGGTGGGTGGATCACGAAGTCAGGAGATCAAGACCATCCTGGCCAACATAGTGAAACCCCATCTCCACTAAAATAAAAAAATTAGCTGGGCATGGTCGCACTTGTCTCTAGTCCCAGCTACCGAGGAGGCTGAGGCAGGAGAATTGCTTGAAGCCAGGAGGCGGAGGTTGCAGAGAGCCGAGACTGTGCCACTGTACTCTAGCCCAGTGAGTACCTGAAACTGGCTGGTACTAACCTGACTGCTGTCAGTTGGAAAACATTTCTGTTCATGTCTTCAGTCCCCAAAGCAAATGTTTTTTTCTTCCTAAGTAGTTATGTTGCATTATGGCTGTAACTTTTTATAGTTGCAGGTATGACAGGAAAACTAGCACAGCTTTCTTTCCTTCACAATTTCATGGATAGGAGATTTGTTCTTGCTATAGATCTTAGCAACCTCAGCATACTATTTTTTTCTTGAGAACTTTCCACATTTCACCTAAAAGAAGCAAGTTAGGGCTTCTCTCTGGCACACTGAATTGCCAGTATCACTACTCTTGTACTTTGGGGCCATTATTAAGTAAAATCATGGTTACTTGAACACAAACTTGATACTCTGACGGCGGCCAGTCAATCTGATAACCTTGAAGGGAACTAAGTGACTAATGGACGGGTAGCGTAGACAGTGTGACTACACTGGCTAAACAAAGGGATGATTTCTGTCCTAGGCAGGATGGAGTGGCTTGGGGTGGAGGGCATGAGATGGTGTGAAATTTAATCACACTGCCCAGAATGGTGCACAGTATAAAACTTGGGAATGGTTTATTTCTGGAATTCTCCATTTAATATTTTGGGTTGGTAGTGGGTAACTGAAACCATGGAAAATTGCAACTGTGGATAAAGGGGGGCTACTGTTAAAAGTATACTCTAATGATCAAAATCAGGAATTTTAACACTGATTTAGTATTGTCAACTCTATAGTCCATATTCACATTTATCATTATAATGATAATGTCCTTAATAATGCCTTTCATGGTTATTGTTAAAATTCTGATTTAACTTCTA